ATGCACACTAGATTGGTCAGTTGAATCAGCAGTTTGTGGTGAAATAAGAATGACTTTGTTTGTCCCTCAAATTTCCTTTAAAATTTATCCAGTGGTGATATTTCCATGCCTGTATATGAAATCGTAGCTGGCCTCATAACTTTTCTTTCCTCACCCTAGGTAACTCATTTTAAATCATAGAAAGAGTTTAGGCCAAGAGTTTAGTAGCCCTTTTCATTACTTACTCACAAGTAGGATTTCTCTCCTTGATGCTCTCAGCAGGGGAGGGCTGTCGATCCTGTCTCTTTGTAGCTCACCTTCCCTGAGCTTACCTACTGTTGCCTGTCTCCCTGAGGCTGGTAAATGGAGAAGGAGGGTGTTTCTTACTCACTGTTGATGGCTTTATGTGCTCTCACCTTGGTAGATGTCTTAAGCTGATATTTCCTCTGGGAGCACGTTTTAGGGTTCGTTGGAGGCACCTTTCCTAAACCATCCCACTGCAGCATCTATAGATTGGCATAAGCCATTTGTTGTGTTTCATCTGGTTTCTGGTGACACCCAAACTCCTTTGCCCCAGGCTCTGGATATGCAGGCTAATCTTAACACACCCCTCTCTACCTTGCTGCTATTGGTTGCTGTTACCTCTCAGGCTTGTGCCACTCTCAGGCACAGACCACTGTTCTCCCAGCTTCATGGAATACACACCCATCTCTGCATGTGGTTCCTTTGGCTTGGTGTTAGAAACCATCACCACGGTTTTCTTCTCGGGGACCTGCAGTGTGGACTGGTGCCCTCTACAGAACATCACAAATCATCCTTCTCCTCCCTGGATCCTTTAATATTTTCAATAAAATTATTTAAGGGGATTAGACATTTTTAGAGTTCTTTGTAAATTCTGCATATGTTCTGAATTCTGAATCTGTTGCACAGATTAACTTTAATGTCTGGTACCTGTTAATTGGGCATCTCAGTTGAAACTGATGCAGGAGTTTCATATTATTATCTTATGTAAATGTGTACATACCAGTTTCAACAGTTCAGAAAGTTAATGTGATTACAAAGAGTAAACTCATGTTTAGTTGGATAGTTCATCAGCTTGTGCAGATCAATATTTCCTAGTGTTGCAATGGACGATGCTAAGCACATGTGACTTTCTTTTTCCTGAGTTGTTTCTCCTGATTCGTTTACTTTTACTTTAATCTCTATTCTTTATTATTTCTGTCCATGGACATTCTAGGCAACTCACAACTCTTTAAAAAGTTAATAATGGAAAATACTAAGATAAGTACCTGGCAGATAGTAAGTGAGTGTTTGCTAATATTGTTTGGGATTTTAGTATACTATATCCATTAAAGGAGGATTATTCTCAGGCAGTATTGCTGCAAAGATCTATATATTTTGAAGACTTACTTATCCTTTAACAATGATATTTTGACACTGGACAATAAAATATATTAATTTGTATTAATATCGTACATATTCATATAATAATATAATTCATCAGTATTTGCTGAGTGCCTTCTGTTGTCAGCCCTGGGAACATAGGTAAACAAAATCAGTGAAGAGTTTTGACCTTCATGGATCTTATATAATGGGGGAGGCAAACTTAATTCCTTTAAAATAATTATTCAGGTAAAAATTGATATTCTGATGAATACAATGAGGGAGAGAGGCATAGTACCAGGAAAAGGGCATATTAGGGGGTGAATGTAATAAGGGTGGAGAGAAGGCTCTCCTGAGGAAGTGACAATTAAATCAAGATCTGAAAGATGAATAGAAATTATCTACATGAAGAGTAGAGGGGAAGCTTCTGGAGGAGAAAACAGCATGACCCAAGACCCTGTGGCTGGAGGACCTGAAAGGAGGCAAGTGGAGTCAGAGTGCGAGAGTATGGGTGTGTGCCTGTGCTCTGTGAAGCAGGAGAGGGGCTCCGTGTCAGACTAGACTGTGCAGGCTTTGTTAGCCACTGTGTTAAGCAGGATAGGTGATAATTCAGATTTTTGGAAAGATCTCTTTGGACTAAAGGGAAGCAGCCTCTGCATCTATCTCCTCATCAGCATCATAGCAGAGGAGATGTGGGTTTTATGTCATTTAGTCTTTACAGCAGCACCGTAAATGAGGTACCCTTGTTATGGCAGGAAGAAGTTTACACGATTTAATGACTTCCCTAATGTAACTTAACTGATAAGAGCAGAGCTGATAAAAGTAATGTTTTAAAATCACAGTACTCGGCACATAAAAAGCAATTAATGTTTGATAATAATTATACTGTACTTTTTCTCAATTCAATAATTTGTTTTTTAAAAAATGCTTTAAAAATAAAGTGTAAAAAGGTATAAAGATAAAAGCCCCTCTCTCACCCCGATCCCCATCCACCCATCTGTGAGGTTGTCTTAAACAACCAAACCCCTGTTGCATTAAGATGGCACTTGTTGCTGACTATGTAATAGTTATATCTCCCACTAGGCAGTGGAGACTGGAGAATCCACACTGTTGTGCTGGAGTTAAGAGACTCTACAGCTCTGTCCACAACCACATGCTTGCAAAGGAACAGATAACTTCTTTCCATTCCTGAAGCAAATAACCGTTTTCACTTTACTTTTGCATGTTTGATAACTGGATTTTTCAGGGTGTTAGGGGGTGCAGTGATAGAAAGCAATGTAGTTATCAGTCATCTTGGTGGTTTTGACAAGAGGAATTTTCTCCTCTGTTTTACTGCCTGGGAGGTCAGCTCAGGAGGTGTATTTCATCTTTAGTAGAAAGAGCAGATATCTTTTTTTAACTTTATTGATTATGCCATTACAGTTGTTCTATTTCCCCCTTTCATTCCCCTCCACCCTGAACCCCCTCCCCCACCATTCCCCCCTTAGTTTATGACCACATGTCTCAAGTTCTTTAGATTCTATATTTCCCATACTATTCTTGCCTTCCCCCTATCTATTTTCTACCTACCATCTATGCTACTTATTTTTTGTACCTTCTCCTCCTCCCAATCCCCTGTTGCTAACTCTCCATGTGATCTCCATTTCTGTGGTTCCACTCCTGATCTAGCTGTCCTTAGTTTGCTTTTGTTTTAGGTGTGGTTGTTAATAACTGTGAGTTTGCTGTCCTTTCACTGTTCATATTTTTTATCTTCTTTTTCTTAGATAAGTCCCTTTAACATTTCATATAATAAGGGCTTGGTGATGATGAACTCCTTGAATTTGATCTTACCTGAGAAGCACTTTATCTGCCCTTCCATTCTAAATGAAAGCTTTGCTAGATAGAGCAATCTTGGATGTAGGTCTTTGGATTTCATGGCTTGGCATACTTTTTTTCAGCCCTTTCTTGCCTGTGAGGTCTCTCTTAAGAAATCAGCTGACAGTCTGATGGGGAGTCCTTTGTAGGTGACTGTCCCCTTATCTCTTGCTGCTTCTAGGATTCTCTTCTTCATTTTAATCTTGGTTAATGTAATGATGATGTGCCTTGGTGTGTTCCTTCTTGGTTCCAACTTCTTTGGGACTCTCTGAGCTTCCTGGATATCCTGGAAGTCTATTTCCTTTGCCAGATTGGGGAAATTCTCCTTTATTATTTGTTCAAATAAGCTTTCCACTCATGGCTGTTCCTCTTCCCCTTCTGGTACCCCTATAATTCGGATGTTGGAGCATTCAAAGATGTTCTAGAGGTTCCTAAGCCTCTCCTCAATTTTTTGAATTCTTGCTTCTTCATTCTTTTCTGTTTAGTCATTTTTTTCTTCCTTCTGGTCCACTCCCTTGATTTGAGTCCCAATTTCCTTTGCATCACTATTGGTTTCCTGTGCATTTCCCTTCTTTTCAATTAGTTTAGCCTTCATTTGTTTCTCTAATTTGTGCCTAAAATCAACCAGTTCTGTGAGCATCCTGATCACCAGTGTTTTGAACTGTGCGTCTGAAAGTTTGGCTATTTCTTGGTTGCTTAGAGTTATTGGCTCCGGGGGTTTGAGATCTTCTTGAGCCATGTTTGGTCTGTTTGTGCATGTTATGTACGAGGAGCGGAGCCTTAGGTGTTCACCAGGGCGGGGCCGCACAGTTTGCTGGGTTGTGACACTGTATGTGGGGGCAGGGTCAGAGTGGGGCAATAGTGATCCCCTCTGCTGCTTCTTGCCACTGGGGCATGCGTGGTCTGTCTCAATGCTCGCTCCTTCGCTGGTTTATCTGCGCCCAAATGTGTGATCCCAGTCAGCCTGCCACCCCGCACCGTCACTGGTTCCGCCTGTCACAAACCCCACACCTGGGTATTCACCAACTGCCAACCACATGCCTGGGTTGGTCTGTCCGAGTTTTCCTGCACAACCCTTTTTCGCCAGCCGCTGGCTCCATCCCTCTTACCAGTCTGACTGAAGGGCTCGTTGTTGTCAGACTTGAGTATAATTTAGTCATCTGTGTTTTGGTTGTGCCTTTTTTTACTAAAACTTTGTTGTCTTTAAATTTGGTTGTGTGAGAAGGTACACTGTTTCCACCTACACCTCCATCTTGGAGGAAGTCCGAGAAAGAGCAGATATCTTGAAAATCAGTAGTCTTTTTCAGGAAATTAACATGGCTTCTACTGGGTGCTTTTTAACCCTGTGTTCCTTGCTATCTTCACCGGAGCCCACATCTGTCTTACAGCATGGCAAGTGGTGGACTTACTATGGATATTAGGTGATGTTCAGTATCTGATTTTAAGCAAGGCAGAAATACTGGCACTACAGAAGTTAATGCTCAACAACCTAGAAAACTATAATCTAGAATACTGCATGAGATACCTAGATAGATGATATTTGCCTGAATTAGGAAATGAGAATAGCAATTAGATTAATCATTACATATCCAAGAGAGGAAATATTTGAATACTTCTAATCTGTGATTTGGAGAAAATGATATAAAAAAGACGTGTTAGTTTACTTAGCTGTGTTGTAACTTTTTAAAATCCCTTGGCACTTTGGGATTTGGGCTTTCTGCTGACTGACAGCATGAGTTTGAAAGTGATTGCAGTATCTTCACAAAGTGGCTTCTGTTCTGCAGGGTTATTGAACAGCTTGGTGGGAAGCAACTGGTGATGAACCATATGCACCACGAAGACCAGCAGGTTCGCTACAACGCTCTTCTGGCTGTGCAGAAACTCATGGTGCACAACTGGTATGTGCTGGCTTTTTCCTCCCACTTACGAACTGATCTGTGAGATCACCTTTATCCAAAAGTTCTAATGTACATGCTCTTTTGAATGATAATTTTTGAAATCAGTGATAGACTTTAAATATTTAGAAATACATTTTAGCAATTCAGAGCAATGACATGATAATTCAAAAAGTTGTATTAATGTTCTGAAGAAATATATGTATATTCAAAGTACTTATATCAAACACAACTCTAGAAGTAACTAAAAGAACCCTTGTGACATAAGTGAATCAGTCTTTTTTTGCAGTTAATGAAATCCGGTTGGGCTTAACTGATTAGGGACTAAGATTTTGCAAGGTTTACCTATTTAACATATGGTTCACCTAACTGGATTTTACCAGTTCACATGAAAACACAAAGTGATTGATTTACTAAGATTTAACTCTCATGTTTAGTTCATTATAGCTTTTTAAACAACTGGTTATATTGTTCTGTCTTTTTTAAAACAAAATTATTGACCTTTGTATGCCCACTTACAACAAGATAAAGAGTGACTGCTCTGATATAATGGTGGGCCATTTGAGTACATGATGGCAGGATTCCCTTTCTGGTGTCTATTTTTAGCTGTAAGTTGGATGTTCTTCTAAAATGTTCAAATGCCTTTCTGCCCCCACCCCATAGAAGCAAGCTTTGGTGTTGGACTGCTTTTGTTAATACACAGTGGACAAATATACATTCCCTATAACTGACCATAATACTACCAGAAAGAATTAATGATGCATCAGAATGCGTACATTTGAAAGATGCATCAAATACTGTATAGGAAGGACACTATCCAAGTGTGGCTGTGATATTGTATGAAATATTATGATTTTGCCACTTTAGTGTTTTTCATAAATAATGACATTTTTGTATTCTTTCAAATTATTTTTGAGCACTTTATACTCTGTTATATTAAGAGCTGGGCTATAGCTGTAACAGAAGTGGATGTAACTATACTTAGGATGATTAGACACGGCCTCTCGGAATAGGCCAAAGCAGCTAAGCTGAGATAAAAATGATAAGGAACCAATCATACAACTCCTGTATTGGGGGTAATTATTTCAGATAGAGGGAATGAGAGGGTAAAAGACCATGAAGCAGGAATGAGCTTTGGCTTCTTTAGAAGCAATATCTGCAGACATATTTTTATGTGGAAACTTGGGGGTGATGTTACAGGCACCGAGTATGTAGAGGCCAGTGATGTTGCTAAACATCCTACAGACAGTCCCCACAGCAAAGAACTGTCTTGTGTCATTTCTTTGTGTCAGTAGTGCCAAGGGTGAGAAACTCGAATTTGAAGGACAGAATGAGGCCAGCATGAAAACAAGTGGGCAAGGAGAGGCTGGCAGAGATCCAGTTGTAGAGGGTTTTATAGGCTGTCATATGACTTTTATACAATGAGTTGAGAGCCATTGGGAGACTTTTAACAGGGCAGTGACAAGATTTGACAAGATACATTTTAAAAAGATTTCTTAGGCTGCTCTGTGGAGAATGGATTGTACAGGGGTAAGTGTGAAGCAAGAATACCATTTGAGTAGGGTTTCATTGTGGTCTAGAATAGAGATGGTTAGTAGCTTGAACTACTACTATAAAAGTTAAGGTAACAAGAAATGGGTGGACTTGGGATAAATTTCAGAGTAAGTGACAGCATTTGATGGGCTGAAAACATTTTTACTTTGGGCAGGAAGAATGGGATCAAAGCAGAGAGCACTCAAAATAGTTTATCTGTTTAGTAGGAAGAAAAAAATTAAAGTCTTTCAGTAAAATATGGAATACTTCACTGCATTTACCCCCTTTTGTCACTTCAACCTGAGCCACATTTTCCAATATAAATGAATTATTTAGTATTTTTTTCTTTCTTGGTTTATGTCTCTTTTATGAAATTAGTTTTTAAAATATTGGCATTTGATAGACTATGAGGCCGTTGCAGCCAGTGAACTTATTTTGCCAGATGTTTTTCTAAAGTTTTTATGAAACAATTTTTTCCCTTATTGTTAAAATTAGGGTTGATGAAGTATAATCCTTGTTTTGTTAATTAAAAGAAACAATTTTATTTTAATAGTCTTTCTCTTAAAGATTTTATTATTGGGTTTGGCTATTTTTATAAAATATATATTTCTGATGTGAAAGAAGAGATAGTTATGAAATAGGATGTTGACCTTTTCTCTTTGCTAGTGAGGAAATTTTTTGATTGATAATTTTAATGTTTTTATATAATTATACATTGAAGTTAAAACATTCAAAATTTGATTTTTTGCCTTGAATTTAGGAACTTGATTTAGTCTCACAGTATTTTTTTGATGTACATGTACAAAAGGAAAAGTGGCCATCTATATAGCCAGAAACTGGTCTATTCACTCTTTATCATTGACTAGCTGGTGAGAGAATATCCCTTCCTACTAATTACGTGCCAAGCTATTTTTTTAATGTTTTAACTATAATAAACCCCTTTTAATGGACAAGCTAGTAATATCAGTATTTTCCTATTCTTCTTTGTAAAGGAATTTTTTAAAGGTTTTTATTTATTTATTTTTAGACAGAGAGGAAGGGAGAGAAGGAGAGAAACATCAATGTGTGGTTGCCTCTTGCATGCCCCCCACTGGGGACCTGGCCTGCAACCCAGACATGTGCCCTGACTGGGAATCAAACCAGCAACCCTTTGGTTTGCAGGCCGGCACTCAATCCACTGAGCCACACCAGCCAGGGCAAGGAAATCTCATTTAAAGAAAGATTAGAATTCACATGTGACTTGTAGATTTTGTTGTGACGTATGTAACATTCTTTGGCTCTTTGTGCCAGAGAATGAAAGTTGGTCAAGTAATAGCAATTTATTTTCTCTTCAATAGATATGAAACCAAATATAGTACTATTTGGAAAGTAAATCTTTAGCAGCATTATCCCCAAATGTAAAAAGTTTTTGAATCAAAATGTTTATGTAGGTAACCAAGTTGTCCTTATTAAATCATGGTAAAGACTGCTTTTTTCCTTACCTAAAAATGGAGGCTTTTATTACCTAAAATATGGTATTGGTTCTCTAAGATATTGTACGCCAAATAAAAACATGAAAACATGGTTGACTTTGTGTCCTCTTAGCATTTGTTTGCTTTGATTTAATGAAAATGAATTTTTATATGGGATATATTTTATAGAAAACAGTTAAAATATAATCATGGATGAAGGCAAAATAAAAACCCTGTCAGAATGGCATTGGCAACAGCAACTTTTCATGGCTCTTTTGCTAGTTATCTATAGTCATTGTTTTGTTCCTCAGCTGAGCTGAAAAGATTCCTAGGACACTGTTTACACTCTTGATTTGCTCTTACTTTTCTATCATAAATGATTTTTGGATATTTGATATTACATTAATCCTAATCTATCTATATTTGTTAGAATAAAGTATAATTTTGGATATAAATAAATATTTTTACTTTCCTACAGTAAAATATTTACTTCCAATTTTTTTGTTTTGTTTTAACTGTAAGGGTAGAATTACATTTTAAGCATAAACTGGATACTTTTAAAATAATAGAATTGGGCTGTCTTTTGATACTGATTTTTTATTTTGTTCTAAGTACTTAAATATAACACTTCTTGATAATGTAGAGTTGTATTTATTTCTGGTTTACATAACATGTAGTACAGAGTTATATCATGTGGAAATAATTTTTCAAGTTTATGATTAATTTAAAAATTACTACCATAAGTTACAGGTCTTCATAGAGTAGCCAGTGTTTCTCCCCTTCTACTTGACATCTGTATTTGCCTTGGAAAATGGATTACAAATAACCCTCACTGATTTGGTGGAGGTTATGAGTCAGAATAGAGTTGCTAGGGGATGGTTGGCACACACAGGTGCCTCCTTAGTTCCTTAGTTCAGGGGGCCTGGAGCCAGTCATGTCTACTCACAGTCCTCCTGAATGACACTCACGCTCTCTGATCTTCCCGTACCCACTGTGCGTTCCTGGCATGCCCTTGTTCTTTTGAGCAGCGCTGGGTTTTTATATTCATGAATTAGGCAGAATATATAAAAAACGACAACTTACTCTAGAGAACTTTTATATGTACTCTCAGTTTATACTTTCTAATTTAACATCATAAAATGTCATCATTTTTCTCCTACAGAATGATTTAAAATGTAATCAGCTTGTAATTCAGAAGCAACAATATATGCGTATGGACAGCTCAAGACTTCAGGAAAGAAACACTGAATTTTGTAGGTAGTGGATCTCCTATAGAATTTTTTATTTGTTACTGGGCTTTTTCACCCTTATTTCAAGCAGAAAAATAAGTTCGAAGAGTAATACCCTTTCTCGATATTTTATGTGCAGGGAAATAGTGGAATAAAGAAGAACTCACCAAGCAATGGTACAGGCGATGCTGCTTTGTTGTCTGAGGTTATTTTAGTTATTCTATTAGTACACAGCCATAAATACAGTGACTAAAATAGTTACTTATGAACTAAATTGAAGAAAAAGCCCTAATGTAAGTTTTAACTTTTTATTGCTAATACTCATGTTACTAAAACACTTCGTATGATTTTTTATGAACATATAACATTTCCACAATTAATTTAGAAAATCGTTTTCCCTCTTTGGGTGCCTGGAATTTTCCATGTTATCCTTATCACATTTTTAATGGTGGAACCTTTGAAAACATCTTTAAGGCCATATGTCTTGGGTATTTAAAAAAACAAATATTACTTGATTTAAAAATATAGATATTAAAGCCAATTTCAAGTAAAAAGGAATTTTTTATAGCTGTTGTCTCCGTATCACTTGAGCCACTTTGGGTCTTCCAGTCTAAAGTTGCTTCTACTTTGTTAGTTAGAGATATTTTGAGGCTGAACTAACTTCTTATTTTTCTGGACATTATGTATCACTTAATTAAAATTAAGAAATACCAGCATAACATAAATCTTAGATTATTGTAGAGTACCAGTCTGAATGAACATTTGGAGGAGGTGGATAATAAGCATTTCT